GTTAAGCCTCTGGCCTTCAAGGAACGATTCTGAGCTGGCAGTATGGTGCCAGATGTTTGGATTAAGCTGCAGTATTTTAATCTAGGCTGGTTGTGCTCTCAAACATGCTGAATCTGTAAAAATCTTAAGACCACATTGTCTGTCTAGGTAAACAGTTCTTGGCTGATAGATAAGGTTATGATTTAGTAGGCAGAGGCTTCGGTCAGGAAAAAATGTGTGCTTAGGCAAAACTACATGCCATATTAAGGCTGTTTTCATCCCAGGAGATGAACCTAGTTTAGACTCAACTCAGCACTCCTCATATCTACTCCATGAACTGGTGTGCATTTATTTAATGACTGTTATCTCCAGTGGACAGTTTGTGTTGCCCTGTTTGGAGTAGTGACTTGTCAGTCTTAGAGTAGGATGAGATGATAAACCAGACCGCTGCTTTTATGGGAGACTGGTTTGAGGTTTTTATCAGACTTGTACAAGAAAAGGATGGGAGAGGGTGTAACTGCTGACACTTGCACGATGAATTTCACATCAAGTCTCAATTAATCTGCACTTTGATCTTCCGATATGCATATATTATAACTGGAATCTCACCCTTATAACACTAGAGAAGAATAATGGATGATAATACAAATTTGCCTCCCTGTTTAATGTCTGCTGCTGTCATGTTCCAACAGAATGCCGTGGGTAACACAGCTGGTCTTTCTAACAGTCACTAATACAAATGGTGCATCTCTGGCACAATATTGTAGGTGAATGAGGTGAAAATAATAGTGTACGAAGCATTTATATGCACACTACAGTTTGGGTTTTTTTGAGTTAAACAGATGATGGAAAACATTGTACTTCTAGTCCATTGCTTTCTGATGTTTCAGAATATCACTGGTTCCAAGTCTCTAGCAGTGAAAGATAACAATGATGGAGAGAGAGTGCATTTGGTGAAAGAAGTCTTGACTGTAGTGTATCTTGTGATAACCTGTTGGCTTCCTTCTTGGTTTGGAGCTGCAGTGCTGTGGAGTGGTAAGTGTGTGCTCAGGATACTGAAGGATAGTGGTAGAAGAGTGTTCTTCCAAGGCCACAGCCCATAGACTTCTACTTAAGTGGAAAACAGCACAACATGTAACTGCTAAAGCATTTAAACATCACTTTTTCAGTGAATTCTCTGATGGAAGGGGCGAGGGAACAGGGAGCTCAGTTCCAACAGAATAAGCAACCTTTTAAATGATGAAAAATGTACATCTGGTGGAAAATTCAGCTTAACTGAATGGCAAGTTTAAGGCTGGCTAGTTGCCCTTTTTAAAAGTAGGATATTATAACTGCTTGAAACTCTGGGAATGACCTGGGAAACCATATGTAATGCTCCTAGTTTGCTTTTTACAGCCAATACTGTGCCAGCTTGCTTTCTTGCTGAGGTCTGAAAGGAAAGTTAAGTTTATTAATAAACTAATGTACAGTCTGAAGCATTCATTAAATTTAAAGCAACTAAATTCAGCAAATTTGATAATTTTAAAGTGCCTTTTGAGATAGTTTCCTTCCAGCCAACTCTAAATAGCTTTCTCCCAGAGTTAAAGGGGAAAAGCTCACAACTTGAACCAAACCCCAAGTTAGTTCTCTTCTAGCTCTTCAACTAAAGAGTTTGACTCCACCAAACAACTGGTGGGTCTCACTCCTTTATGCGCTCTGCCTAGTATTGGCCTGAACTCTCAGACCTCTGAGATTTTGGGGGAGTTTTGCTGGCAATGCTCCGCTGCAGGGTACAAATGTGAATGGAGGCACTTGGTAGTGCAGTAGTGGTCAACACATTTCTAACTCCATAAACAACTGCTCTTCCTTTCTGTAGCATACTACAGTTGTGACCAAAAACCCCACCCCTCTTACCCCGGTGTCTTTAAGTGGTATCAATTAACTTGAGACCCAAGTCTGCCAAGTATTGAACAAAAGGGTTAATGGAAAACAAACCAACTTCTGTCCCTGGGAAGTGATGCTGTCAAACCAGACTTCAGGGCTGCATGGGAAGTCTGTGGTGGTTCATACTGTAGCTTCTTGTTCTTCGACTGGATTCCTTTTGATTGCAGTCATCCAGCACTCTTACACAAGCACAAAATGCAGTCTGGCTTAAGTTTTAATTTGTGTGTCCAAAAAAGGTGTAGTTGCTGTTTCACACCACTAAGGGGAGCGAGAACATTAGCGTTGAAGGTACTAACAGAGCATAGCAAGTTGCTGGCTAAAAGCTGATAATGCCTTAATGACTTCCTGTGCCAGAGATCAGTGGCTTGTACAACTTCTCATGCAGTGCTTATAAATTAACATGTAACAATATGGGAGGCCAAGGCTAGATTTTTTTTTTGTAGATCAAATATTAATAGGCAAGTCCTCTTTTTCTTGTAACCAGCAGAGTTGGGTACTGCAACAAACTCATCTCCAGAGCTTGAATGAGTGACAAAAATAACTCTGAACTTTCTAATACCCTCTGTGAAATAGAAAAGGAAGTCTTAGAACAATGGCATTTTATCTGCAGTGTTTGTCTGGAGTCATTGTAAAAATGTATTTTTCCAATATGCATTACTTTGTTGTGTAATGATTCTACTTGTAATAAAATGCATAACTAGATAATGCATTGTGAGATGGAAACCTTGTTAAGAAAGTATCTTCTTGTGGAGTGACAGCTCCCCCTCTGCAAGCTATCCTTTACAAGCCACAAGGAAAACCAGGGATGTAACATTCAATTGGGTATGACAACATTAAAATGAATACCTGGAATAATTTCTGAACACAGAATAATGTTGTGGAACTGCTACAACTGTTGTTTTGGCTGACAGGGTCTGGTGTTCTAGTTTATACCTTAGTCATCTTCACTGCCTTATACTAGACTTACCTATAATAATTTTTCTGAAATGATCCTAATTTCCCGCATTCATGGAGTAAATTAGTTCTTGGCTCAGATGCATTTCAGTGTACAAGCTCAGCTGAGTTGATGCAAAGTTAACATACTACCAGTGTGTTTAGTTGTGTGCTGGTGGGCAGCTCAGCCTCCTGGAAGAGCATTAACTGCTGCAGCTTTACTTCAGGAAAGGGAAAGCTTCAGTGCAATAGCAAAACCAAACCATCTTGGTGAGATTGTGATGCATTAGTCTTTATTAATAAAACTTACTGAAGTACGGATGAATGGTGAGCTGCCTATGTTGACTTGACCCCTGTGTAACCGTTGCTATTTTCATCCTACCCTTTTCTACCATGGGAGAACCTAGCTGAGCTTTTGAATTCTAGTAGAAACAAAATAATCTTGGAGCACTTTGGGTCAGTGAGGCACTCTCCTTGTTTGCTTTAATAGATGACTTATTCCTTGTGCAAGGCTAACTTTCCCCTGCTAGTGTTTCCAAACACTAAACAGAGGAATAAGCTGTGAATTGGTTTTTAACCAACTTCAACCAATTTTAACTTAAAGCAACACCATCCCATCTTGCCTTCCTGCAGCAGCTTGATTCTTGTGTAGCTCTTAAGATCAAAACCATCCCCTGCCCATTTCAGTGCTATTTGCATAGTGCTCAAGCGTTACAGCAAGATGAAACTTGCTCAGAAGTTACATAGCTGATCCCCCTTCTCTAGGACTTAGCTTGTGACCCTGACTTGCCCTTACAAACCACTTTTTACAGTATTTAATAATCCAGAGTTTGCTGCAACTTTTAAAGCTATTGTAAAGATTCTTGCCAGTTGTTTTTTGGGGATGGTTTGACCTCTAAACACAAGTTCTTGTTAAAGATGTGTCCAAAAGCAAATGACATGCTGACACTTACAATGCCTGGTAAGTTGTGGAAACAACAAAGCAGTGCTTTGCAGCTCTTTCCTGCAGATTTTACACAGCTTTATCTTTAGGATTGTCATGTGAAGCAAGTGGCCCGCTCCAAGCCCAGAGATGGCACAAGCCCATGGCTGAATTCCAGTTCTAAAAGCGTGGCTGGGGATTGGAATGCTGTGTGATGGCTCTGCTGCCACTCATCCACACACACAGCTCCCACTGACAACTGGTAAGAGCTGGCACAGCTGCCTGAAAGTGCCTTGGAGGACTTCTCTTCAAGACTATGGTGGAAAAGAAATAATAGCAGAACCAGGTTAAGGAAAAAAAAAAAAACCACAACTCCAACCCCCCAAATGTTTATTTATAATAAGCATGTATGTATTTAAATTGCTGCCTGGCTGCTGTCCAGGGCAGCTGTAGCCTCATCCAAACATCAGAAGTGAGAAGTGCTGTCACTGCACTGAAGTGATTACTCTTGCTTTGAAGCAATGCTGCCAGGCCACCTCTAATCTCACTAGTTATTAACTAATTACTTAGATTTGTGGGGCTTTCCTTAGAGGTGGTAGTAGCTCAAAACTAATGAGTTTATAAATGCTTCCTGGCTCTTTATAAATAGGTGGCAGCTGCCTTAAGGAAAACTGAACACAGCTCAGCATGGATCTAGGCTTTCTGCAAACTAGGTGTCCCTCTTGAGGTTGCAGCTATACCAGAAACCAAATCTAACAGAATTTTGCCAGCTATGATAAGATATGTATGGAGTTTAAGGGAGCTGGGCCTTGGGGGGATATACCCAGCCTCAGGTTATAGTCTGATGGGCGGAGGTCATACATGGGGAAGGAAATAGGAGGCAGATTACAGCAGGATGGTCGTCTTACTGCATAGCTTTTGTTATTGCCCATTTAAAACTAACAATTCCGGATCTGAGTAGTTTCAAAGTGAATCAGAGGACCAGGTTGGTGAGGTTAATATAAAACAACAATCCTCATACGTGGGTTCCAATATCTTCTTTTCATGGTATCTAATACAAACACTAAATGAGGAAATACAGCTATGACCTTTGCCTTCTGTGCTTCAAGAATTTGATAAAGCTTGTGTACAACAACCTGCACAAGTTCCTAGATACCACATACCTTAATTGCAGAAGAAATTCAGGCTTCTCCCTGCTACCTTTAAACCGTTTGGAGTAAACCAGGTGCCTGGGAAGGAGCATTAGCACTACACTGCAGGAGGCAGAGTTCAAGCCACCTGGAGGGCTGTGCATAAACTAAGGTCAGTGACGCTGCGGTTCTTGTGCTCGCTGCCTCAAAATACACTGCATCCACCAGCCATGCACGCAAGCCATCTCTTCCCTGACTGCACAAGAAATCAGTTTTTAAATATAGTCCAGGCTGTGCATCTTAGAGTTTGTTGCCAGGTGTAAAAATACCATAGGAATAAAGCACTAAGAAAGAATCCTGTTACTGATTTTTTAGCCACTAACTTTGCTAAAGCGTTTCCTCCTTTTCTCAGCTCCATCTCCCCACTTTAAAAAAAACAAAGGTCACAAATAACATGAAATTGCTATTGCTACCATCATGCAGACAGATGGAAGGGAATGGAGCTGGAGGTGCAACTGCCCACCTAAAGTGTAACATTTTGCTGCAGGACTCTGCACCTGCCTGGAATCCAGTGCTGGGAGTCACAGCTGTAGGACGCACTGCTCAGCCAGCGGATGGCAGCCATCATATTCCTCCAGGTGAGGGTTATCCAGGTCACCTCTGTTGCTGTGCTTGGTGGAGTCTGGCTGGCCCCATGGGGGACCAGTGGTCCTCACGCACACACAGTGACTCCCCCTTGAACCAGGTTGGTACAGCTTCCGTGGGACTCCAGTCCAGTCTCTGTTCACTCCCCCACTATAAATGGAAAGTTAAAATAAATTACAATTTAAACCTGTGAAAACACTTCCAGTGAACAGAGAATCATTAGGGAAAAAAAACAAACAAGATGATCTGAGAGAGTTAGGACTAACACTACACTCACTGAGGTAGACTTTGCTCCCACCATCCCCAGCTTTCTGATATCTTTTTACTGGCTGTGCTTCAGAAACCTGTGGCCTGAACCGGGTTTCTTCAGTGCTGCTACATGCTCTTCACTCTTCTGGGAGCAACCAGCTTCTACTTCCCACATTTCTATTGCTGGAAAAGGAATCATAGCCTTATGGGGCACAGAGTGTCTCATGGCAAAATGCCTTTTCTGGGGGCAGCTAATTGCTCAGAGATAACCCCATGTCATCTTCTGTGCCGTGACTGAACACAGCGATTTGGAGAACTAGGGCAAAAGAAAAAAAAAAATCACAAGTCCTAAGTACTTCTGCAACTACTTCATAGCGTCTCTTTATAGGCCAAATCCTGCCTGTTCCCCTAACCACTGCATCTTCTAAGCCTGTAAACTCTTACACAAGTGACTGCCACGCAACACCCAGGCCCAAGGCTGCACCCAAGCTCATTCATGCATAGAAGCAGATTCCCCCAAGGTACGCAGTGGTACTAGGTGTACTGAAATGAAGCCTGAATATTTTGCAATGTCATCTGTGAAATTATTTCATCTTCAAACCAAATAGTTCCTAAACTGAGAGAGGAATACAACTAAATAGGCCAAGTAGGAAATGACTACTCAAAGCTCATTTTTATGCGGTTTTACTTGAAAACCGTTGTGGCAGTAGCCTGAGAGACAAGCTGCAAAACTGTCTCAAAACCACGAGCTAATCCTTGCATTCCCGATAGGTCAAAAAACCTGTTTGAATGTAGCACACGCTCCTAGTGGAATTTCTGTCCTGTTTTCCTGAGAACAGCAGCAAATTCTAAAACCTGATTTTGATTCCAGTTTGACAGAAGAGTTTTTGCCTCAGGAATAAAATTCCTAAAAGTATTAATGATTGGGATGAAACTTTATTTTCCTTTTACCCGCCCACCAGGTCAGTGAGCACGGTTCCCCTCTGCTACCTCACACTGGAGAACATTTTCACTAGCCCAGCCTATACCTCTGTGCAACTCCAGGCCAGATAGAGGCTCTCAGCAGTTGCTGGACCAGCAGAGAAAATCTAGGGACTCTGATTCACACAGCAGCAGTGGCTCAACCTGGCACAGCAGAGAATGGCACTGCTGCTCCTTGCCGGTTGGCTCTGCCTCTGTCAGAAAACACAGCCCGAGGAATACAGATGGGGAAGGGACCGTGCCTGGCGTATTCCAGCCGTGCCAGCACTCAGCACATTGGGGCCACCCTATGCCCTTCTGCGGAGAAGTCAGCAGACCTCACCTACAGACCACAGAGTGCGGTGGCTTGCAGGAGCCAGGACATCTTCCCAAGCTGCTCCTGGCTAGGAGAGGCAATGACAAAGCTCAGGATATCAAAAAAACCTGGCAGAAATGCTCTGCTCCAAGCGTGATGGCAGGAAGGCAGAGTTTACCTCTGTCTGGAGCACCAGAATCGGCTGCCCCCAGCAGAGCTCCATTCAGAATTGCAGGGTGGAAACTGCTGCTTCCTTTGTTCGCTTTCTGCTTGGAACTTCAGAGCTTCCTCAATTGCAGCCTCAGCCTGCTTCAAGGCTTCTGTCGGTGCCCCATTTTCGTCATAGAATCTGCCCACCAGCTTCCCTGGGAGAGAATATCAATTAAGACCGCAGTGTTTCCAGGCAAGAAAAATGAATAGTTCTGTTTTGTTTTTTTTTAATTTGTCATTTAAAGAAAAAAAGTAGGATTTCATCATGGCCCAATTTTAAAACCGAACTGAGCTTATATCCCTTCCATTCTTGGATGGCACAGCAGTTTTCTCACGTGAATAAATCCAGGCAGGACAAGCTCAGGCACAGGCTCATTAAAGATCACAAAGTCAATGCCACTTTCAGCTGCAGAACCTAGAATTCTTTCCCGCCCGTGCACCTCATTCCCCAAAATAGTTTCTCTGCACTGCTGCTCCTACAGTCTCCAGACTCCTGCTACAAAATTAGTAGTGCTGGCTCCACGCCTTTTGCAAATAAATCAAAAGTGGAGGCGAATAAAAGCAGGGCAGAGCTGCCGTAGCTGACAGCCCTGGGCAGGAAAACCATTAAGCTTCACAGAATCACACAGAATCCCAGAAAGGCAGGGGTCCAACCGCCCTGCTTAAGGCAGGGTCACCCAGGCCAGGTTGCACAGGACATCGTCCAGGCAGGCTTTGAATATCTCCAGAGAAGGAGACTCCACAACCCCCCTCGGCAGCCTGTGCCAGGGCTCTGTCACCCTCAGAGTAAAGTTATTCCTCATATTCAACTGAAACTTCTGATGCTTCAGTTTGTGCCCATTGCCCCTTGTCCTATTGCTGGGCACCACTGAGAAGAGTCTGTCTCCGTCCTCGTGACATCCACCCTTAAGATGTTGGTATGTGTTGATGAGGTCCCCTCTCAGTCTTCTCTTCTTCAGGCTGAACACGCCCAACTCTCTCAGTCTTTCCTCATAGGGGAGATGCTCCAGTCCCTTTATCATCCTGGTTGCCCTCCTCTGGACTCTTTCTAGGAGTTCCTTATCTTTCTTGAACCGGGGAGCCCAGAACTGGACATAGTGGGGTCTCACCAGGGCAGAAAAGAGGGGGAGGAAAACCTCCCTCAACCTGCTGGCCACGCTCCTCTTAATGAACCCCGGGATGCCATTGGCCTTCTTGCCAACAAGGGCACACTGCTGGCTTGTGGGCAACTTGTCGTCCATCTTCACCTTAAAGGAAAGCAGACCTCAAACTGGGTCTGATTTAGCAGCAGCCCCAGCTGATTGCTCACGGGTTTTGGTACGCAGCAGCCACCTGTGGCATGGCTGGAAGCCCAAGGTGGACGTGTTACAGAGGAGACCCAGCGCCACACAGCCCCGTGCCCCCACCTCCCATCGCCACGCTGTGCACCTGCCCTC